CTATCGAATACAACCTCTTGTATACCTCGCGATTGCTCCCCTAGAGCGCAGCCCCTTACAATATCGTCTTATTAGCGTTATTCGTAGTACGTTGTACTTTTTAGTAATTTATTAGTACAAAAACTGTTCTCTTAGCTCTCGCGATTTAATTTCTTTAATCGCTTTTTAGATTAGGTTTATATTAGTTAAGTTATGACGCGTTGAAGTTTTGTTGTTGTTGTAGTGGGGGTGTCCAACTGGCGACCATGACCATCTGGCGCACGGTCACTGTACTTAGTGGGCGTTTCCCAGCATCTTCAGGTACGAAATTTAGCAACCTCCAACATCAAACGCGGGACGGCAGTTCTCTAGATTGCATCGCGACTGCGGTATCAACACCCAGGATCACTGTGCGTCTCGGTCGATACTCATACTGCGAGCTTGTTCTTCGAATGACTGCGTTTTCTTTTCGGCGCCTTTGCTATTACGTCCTCATTCCGTGCATCTCCATCTTACTGTACAAGTTCCTGAATCTGCATGTGCAGCAGCCGTCAAGTACAATGCCTGCAGCGACTTCAGCACAAGAAGTCGCAACTACGCTACTCGCTGAAAAGGGGCTACAACTGAAGAAATTGGAGCGTATTCAATCGCTATGGGCTGGTTACGGCGAGATATGTCGAGTCATTGCGCCATCGGACTCGTTTGTGCTCAAGCTCGTCACGCCTCCCCCCACAAAGGCAGACGACGAAGGCCATACAAGGAAGATATTGAGTTATCAAGTAGAACAATACTTCTACATGCACCTCGCGCCGCAGATGCCCGCATCTCTCCCAGTTGCACAGTGTCTCGCAAGTATCAACCAGCGCCATGCCAACGGCACCTCGATAACAGCCATGCTGCTGAGCGACCTCCGACAGCAATATGAATTTTTCCGATGGGGTATTTGTGAACATCACAGCTTATGTTCTGTTGAAATTGTACAAATGCAATGCTTCATATCAGACATGCTCATCTCACAGCTTATGTTCTGTTGAAATTGTACAAATGCAATGCTTCATATCAGACATGCTCATCTCACATGACTGTTGCACGACTGTCTCTAGTGTCTAAATATAATAAATTGGCCTCATTCCGCCTGCATTGCACGCACCACCATACCCCGCCATTCCGGATCCTTCAAGATACTCCGCACGCGCGCCTCCAACCACTCAGTATTACCCCAGAAGCCCCAGCTTGCCTGGAACCGCAGCCAATCCACCAGCGCCGTCTCCCAATGGGCGACAAAAACCCGCCAGTCGTATTCTCGCTGCTCGCCCGTGTCGCGCAGCCGCTCCCAGTACCGGCGTAGCAGCTGCTCTTCGCCGCGCTGCATCGACAGCTCGTGCGGAACATGCTGGCCCGATAGCAGCATTGCAAGTGGAACCGAGCACGTGAAGAATTTGGCTAGATCGCAGACGCCGAGGCCGACGCCTGTGTACTGGAAATCGTAAAAGGCGACGGCCTCGCCCGATGTGCTGGTAAATAGGTTTTCGGATTTCACGTCGCCGTGGATCAGGGTCTGGTGCTGTTGGATTGCAGACGGCCCGGATGCGCTGGGCGCGAGGAGCGATGCTGCCATTTCGGCGATGGGGGCTGGGTCTCCCGCTGCGCGACGGGTAAGCAGCGAGGACCATTCTGACGAGGTATCTTGGGCCAGAGAGGCGTATTCTTTGCGGCGGGTTGCGAGATACGTGTATCCGCCGTTGAGCCAGACTGTCTGGTTCACGGTGGTTTGGGCGTCGCGTTGGACTTCCTCGAGGGGAGGAAGCACGAGCGATGAGGGGGTCAGGCTTTGTATGCGCGACCACCAGAAGCCGTGGAAGCCAGAGAGCCAGTCGAGGGCAGCGAGGACTTGGGTTTCCGTCAGCACGTGGCGTTTCTCACCGGCTACGGGAACGTTCCGCCCGTGTGGCCAAGTGGTAAGGCGTCGCACTTGTAATGCGAAGATCCATAGTTCGACTCTGTGTACGGGCATTTTTTTGCCCTTGTCCCGCATCCATATTCCATCTTTTTTTTTCGTGTCTTCTCCTACTCCTGAGGGCCAACTACGCATCACCTTTTCCGTGTTTATTCTTCTTTTGCTCTTTCATCTTCTTCTTTTGCTCTTTTGTCTTCTTCTTCTTTTGCTCTTTTGTCTTCTTCTTCTTCTTTTCCTCTTTCGTCTTCTTCTTCTTCTTTTCCTCTTTCGTCTGCTTGTTTCCCTCTTTCATCTGCTCGATTAACTTGTCCTCTTTCTTGTGCATCATTGCGTATAGGCCCGCTTTCATTCGCTCTTTGACACCTTCTTTGATCTTGTGCATGATTTTCATGATTAAACCTCTCTTGGTAGTCTCTCTCTTTTCCTTCTTCTTCTTCCCCTTATTCTTATGTTGTGTCTTCTTCTTCTCTTCCTCTTCTTTTTTCTTTCTCGCTTGCTCCATCTTTTTCCTCTCTTGATCCTCTTTCTTCTTCTTGTCTTTCTGCATCTGCTTGATCTGCTTCTTCCTTTTCTTTTCCTCCTTCTTTCTTCTCTTCTCCTCCTGCTTCTTCCGCTTCTTCTCTTCTTTCTCCCGCTTCTTCTCCTCTTCTATCCTCTTCACTTCCTCTTCCGCCTTGCGCCACTGCTCTCTGATCACCTCCTTTTCTTCCTCGGTCAACGGGGTCCCGTCGAGATGCAGCAGCGGCATCTTGGGTTTTGGTGGCTTTTTGGGCCATATTTGTGACGTCAACCATGAGTTGAAGTGACGGAAGAAGAAGGATCCTGGGTTTGTATCGTAGTATTGGCGGCTGTATTTTTTAGTGGTGGGTTTATAAGAGAACTGATGGTGATATGGAATCGGGGGTGGAAGGGAGGGAGGGGTATAGGCGCGGAATGTGTGTGCGCTGGAAACTTACCTTATAAGCTTTTTAGGAGGAGAAGAGGAAGAAGTATCAGGTACTTGTAAATTCGAATCTAGTGAATTTGATGACGGAATTGGTGCTGTTGTTTGTACCACGGACGTTTTAAGAGATCTCTGGAGTGGCGGCGGAGACACGGCATGGTGGTGGAGGGAGATGGTGATTTTCGGGAATGTAGGCACGAAAGGGCTTGAAAATGGGGCAGCAGCAGAGGGAATGGTGGACGGGAGGGTAGTCAACGTTGAGCTGAGTGCCGCTGCGGCTACGGCTGTTGCCAGCGACACTGCCACCATCTTGGCTGTCTCGCAATGGAGATTTAGCCTGGCGTGGAAGTAGAAGAAAAGGCAGAAAGCAGGCGGGATAAGATTGTTTTATACGTCGTATTTCACGTGCATAGCTTGGCCAAGTCTTTCTCTATGCAATTCAAGGTATGGCTTACTTGGTTTGGAGAGTAAGGGTATACGGTAGGTGGATAAAGTAGGGGTTCTTGACGTATCAATGAGGAAATATGGTACGGTTCCTCGCCCTTGTCTGACTACCCAATGGGAATTACAAGTACACTTTGCCTTGTCATCTAATACCTTGGTCACTTCAAGTTATCCCGGCAAGGAGCTAGGTATGTATGTTATAGATGGGGGTTCTGTGGGTTGTATGAGGAGACACTGGTTTCAAAGCACGTAATAAAAAATGTTGTCCCGAGGGAGTTGGCATGATGATGTACAGACCATGGTCATGGATTGGCACTGATATTCATTATTTCCAATCTTCATAAACGTCGTAGGCTAGTAACGCTACAGCTCCCGAAGGCGTTTTCTTGGTGCCGGCCCATGGCATTCTGGTAGCTCGTGCTTTATTTGTTACACACAATACGCAACTGCATTCCTACATACATACACCGACCCCGCTTCTTACTCTGGTTTGTGCTGCAGGGACTCGGAAACAACCAATGTCCTCTCCGTGATTTCGGCATTTGATGAGGCTGCGTTGTCGGCCCAAACTTCCCTATTCTTCTGCACGGCTGCTCTAGCACCCTCCTCAGCATCAATGGATGCCTGGACGGGAACGGTTGTGTGTGACGAGTCTGCCAATTCATTCGCCATTCTCTCTGCTTCCAAGTCGTCGAAATAGTCCTTGAAAGGGTCCTCGCCAAACTCATCACCATCTTCCTGCTTGGGCTTGGTGAGGGACGGCAGCGTGTACTTTGTCCTCAGTGTTTCCGACATGTCGAAAGGTGTGCCTGATGTGAGTTCCGGAGTCCACTTGTCCATGCCTTCGTTTGCCAGGGCATCAGCTGCAATATTGCCCGGATCTGTACCATGACCCTTGACCCAGGTAAAAGTCGTCTTTCCCCTGCATGTTAGGCGTTCGCGTATCCTAGCCAGAATGGGCTGGATCAGCTCCTTGTTCTCCACGCTCTTGCCGGCTGCATTCCTCCAGCCCTTTGTCTCCCAATTCTGGAACCATTCGCGTAAACAGCGGATCGAATAGTATGAGTCGGTCCTGATCTCGACATCGCGGTCAATTGGCACATGATCGAGCGCTCGAGCTATGGCGACGAGCTCGGCTCGTTGGTTGGTTTGTCTTTCGCCCCTCAAAGGTTCTCCAATATTTCTGTACCAAGTTAGATGGTAGATTCAAAAACATGTTTGCCCACGAACCTGGGATCCTTGGGACCAAAGTAGACGCCCACGCCGGCTCTGGCGCCTACTTTGCCGTTGCCTCGCGAGCCTCCATCTGTGTGCACGACCAAAGGGCCCTTGAAGTTTCCCGTCGGCTGCCGCTTCGTCGCATTGAGTTCGCCTTCGGTCTTTGCCCTAATGTTCCCAGCAGACTCGTCAAGCTTGATGGTGGGGTCAAAGCCATCTACCGCGCCTGCCGGAAGAGGACCCATACCCGGTTCAGCTTTGATGTGTGCACTGACTGCTGTTGCAGGCGATGCTTGCTCCCTCTTCTGGCGCTTGGGCGCATGTTCAGCGGTTCCGTCCATGTTGACCGCGGCTACGGATGAGGGCTCTGGGAAATGGTCCCACAAATTTATGGGCGCACTGGAGCCTGTTCTGGCCCGATCGACAAAAGCCTGGGCTTCTTCGCGTGTGGCAAAGCCCTGATGCTTCGCGCCCTTGTGGCCCTTGGTATGCGCTTGCACCGTGGGCCAGTCTGTGTAGACGCCAGGCACGCGTCCGACGGCCACTCCGTAAAACTTTGGTTTGGCCGACTTGAGCGTGTGGACGGCGGTGCCTTTGAGGAAGGCCTCGGCTTCGGTGAGGGTGGAAAAGGCTTTTACTAGCTAGGCGTCAGTACATGGGGCTCAGGCGCCGGCTGCGCTACACACCCACGTGGTTTTTGAAACCCTCAGTCTGCTTGCGCACGTCTTCCCAGTTTTGATAGACGCCGGGGACGCGGCCAGCCTTGACGGCGTAGAACTTGGGGGGCGGGCCGTATCTTCGCTTGGCGGTCGATGTCGACGACGCGGTCGAGGGGGCACCCGCCATGGAATTGTACTCGGTAACAACGGTGTCGGGGTAGTCGTCCCAATTGGAATGCAGGCGGCGGATGGCACTAGACCTGGTAGATGTGCGCACCACGAAGGGGGAGAAGAGGTGAGGGCGCAGCCGGTGCGTGTGCCTGTGAAGTGAAGTTAGCGAGACGTCGACAGCATGGCAGAAGCACACGGGCGAGGAGGAAGAGGAGGAGGAGGGGCTGGATTGTATGTACCATGCGTTGCTCCGGCCAGAGACGGCCACGCGTTGAGTAGGAGAGGGCGCGACAAAGCGGTGGCAGTGCATGCAGCGCTGGCTCGCAGAAGAAGCAGAGGGAGCGGAGCGAGGCCGCAGAGGATACGCGTGAGGCTGCCGTGGCTGCTGCAAATGGGCGGCGGCGACGGCGGCGTTGCGGAGTGGAGCGAGCGTGAGCTTGTCGCGGGGGAGACATGGCGGCGCTCCTTGTCACTAATCCTCAATCTCCTCACTATCCTCGCGCCCGCTGCTCTCCCCAGGACCCTGCAGCGCCAAGAAGCAGCCCGTCGTTCGATCCACGCAGAGGGAGAAATAAACAAGCAAATAAATAGATAAACCAAAAAATTCAATGATAGCGTCCCCATTGCTTGGCACCAAGTCTGTGTTCGGCGACGCGCTGACGAGCCTCTACTTACTTACTACTCGAGGCACCACATGCGCCCGGGAGCGTAACCTCGGTGAAGCATCGACCCCACTACGTCACCCATCAGCCCAGACGTAGCACTCGCCGTCACCCTTCACGTCGCACTGTTGAGAAAGACAGAGAGACGGAGAGAGAGAAAGAACATCACCCACCTCTATACCCATTGCCTCGGCCGCTGGTCATGTTTGAAGTCAGTCCACCCACCCACCCATCCACCCGACCGCGGCTAACCACTCCACCAGGGCCGTCACGCCGCAGACCGATACCGTCTGCATCTGCACCGCGCCCGCTCCGTCGTCCTCACCAGCGATGAGCTGGTCGAGATTCGCGCAGCACAGCGAACTTTCGAGGGCGCCTATGTCCGCACCGCAATCGGCCAGTTCTCCTTTGCCCTCGTCGTGCTCAAGATCTTCACCGCCGAATTCTACTCCATTGGTGCTTTGTTCGCAGTCTACGGCGCCGGCATCCTCTTCACTAGTCTGTTCCGCCGCCAGCAAGGTGAGTCTCGTGACGCAGCTGTGCAGGAGTTTGCGTGCATTCCATGCTGATAGAGGACAGGCAACAAACAGTTCTTTTCCGAGGTTGGCTCGGATGGCCTGCACCGCAAAAAGTTTCGTACCAGTGGAAACGTCGTCTTTGTCTTGACCGCCCTGAGCGTGTCGGCATACATCTGTCTGCTGGTCCTTACCCTGAAGCTTGCAAGGTAACTGCGAGCACAGTGTCGCAACGAGGCAACCCCAGGCCCCGAGTATGGAATCGTCGCCCCCTCTGCTTGCACAACGACGGCGTCCCTGCGCTGTTCCAACCCCGCTGCCATTGCGTACGACAAGGCACGAACCGGGCGGCCAGTCTTGGAGAGCTCCACACGGCTACGTCAGGAAACCCGGGGAAGCATCCATGCTGTCTGCATATATTGTGTGTTATGTGCCGAGGACATGGATTCACAAAATGCACCGTAGGGCCCGGGGCACTGTTGCTCAACACATGTTCGATGCCGTCTTGTACATACATAGGTAGGCCGGCACCGTGACGGCAACACATAGCAGCCCATGCTGCCAAAGGAATGTTACACTGTCCCGCCCACGACCCGGTGCGACTGAACTGGCCTACAGGTTGTCAGTATCGTCTTGAGCTGCTGCACTTTTCGGGTTCGGAGTTGGGGAATTGTCCGGTTCGGGGTTGTAGCGACGCCATGCGGGGTGTGACTGGGGAAAGGCGGGCGGGGACTGGTGGCGCATTGTGCACAAAAGAGACGAGACGAGACCAGACGAGACGAGAAAAGAAAGAAGAAGCCCTTATTCCCAATTCAATGCCCAACACGCTTGTGCGCGTTGGTGAAGATTCAGCTTGTGGCTGTGGCGCGGAGCAGTGGCTAGTCCTGACGCTCAACGAACAGTCATACCTGATAACAGGCGTCGGTCTCCGATCTTTCTGAAGGCGGTCAGCTGCCGCAACCCGCGCCGCCGCCGCAGCAGCAGCAGCAGCAGCAGCATATACCGCCCGTCGTCGCCACCGACCGCGCTTGCAGGCTGCCTTGACGCTCCATCCAGCTCCATCCAGCTCCATCCAGCTCCATTCAGCTCCATCGCAATCTCATCTCCACAGCCAGCGGGTAGGGGAGCCAGGCTTGGCGTGCCACTAGCCTGACACCACCATCACCCGTTTCGTCGGCTTGGCAATGACGCCAGGCACAGGCATGCAACCCATTCCGGCGCCGATGGTCACCGAGCTGGCACTTGACAAGCATTCACATTTGCACGCCCGCCGTGGATCCGCCTCTTCTTCCCTCACCTCTGCTCCGCCTACTCGCCGCTTCAGCTCCCATTCCACATACGCTCGATCTGTAATGAGCAAACTCACCCTACCGGCCGACAACGCGCACCACCACATCGACATCAACGACAACGACCTGACGCCCCGCCCCGTGTCGGCCGAGCCCAAGTTTCCCACCGTTGCCCCCGCAAAGAACGTGCAGGCGCTCAAGGAGCGTGCCCAGCTAAATGGCCAGCTGAAGCCTGTCCCCAGCGCTGTCCAGCCACAGCAGCAGCAGCAGAACGGACATGTCGTAGTTGGGAATAATGGCGTGGGCGCCGCCTTGAGCGACACCCCGCTGCCATCAGTTCCGGGCAGTCCGCGAGAGTACGGAGAGGCGCCGTCACAGACTACCTCCTACTTCGCTGACCGTAGCAGCCTGACCAGAAACAGCTCTGCCGCAGGCACACCACGATTGCGACCGACGACGCTCGACATCCCCGGCCTCACAAAATCAAAGGTTTCCCCAGACGGCAAGATTGCGCAGCGCGATGTCGGCTCCAAGCTAGTCATTGTCATGGTGGGACTGCCGGCGCGGGGTAAGTCGTATATTACAAAGAAAATGGCCCGCTACCTGAATTGGCTGCAGCACGACACCAAAATCTTCAACGTGGGAGAGAAGCGGCGAGTCGCTGCGAGCCACAGTGGCTTTCGCCTGTCCCAGGCCAACCTGGAGCGCGTCTCGCCCAACGTCAAGCAGGCCATTGAGGCGCACCAGGATACGCTGCCGCAGATTGCTGCAAAAATTCTTATCAATGGCGACCCCGCGCATGAGGGGTCCATAGACCCACAGAAGCTGCCGGACCCACGCCGGGGTAGCACCGCCATCGCAGACGACGACGATGACGACCATGCAGCACTCCCGCCGCCCAGAGTCGAGGTTACGTCGCCAGGTCCAAAGGCACCCTCGCCTGACAACGAGCAGGACAATGCAGACGGCGAGGCAATGGACCAGTCGGCCGACTTTTTCGACCCACAAAACCAGCGCGCAGCTGCCCTACGAGAGCAATGCGCCATGGAAACACTAGATGACCTGTTGGATTACATCCTAAAGGGCAGTGGCTCAGTGGGTATCTTTGATGCCACCAACAGCACCCTCGCAAGGCGGCAGCAGATCATGCAGCGGATACGGGAGCGCGCAGGACCGGAGCTCAACGTGCTGTTCGTAGAGAGTGTATGTCGCGATCAGAATCTGCTCGAGTCCAACATGCGCCTGAAACTGTCAGGACCAGACTATGCCGACAAGGACCCTGTTGCTGCTCTCGCCGACTTCAAGAAGCGGGTAGCCATTTACGAGAAGAATTATGTCCCAATTGGTGACTACGAGGAGGAACACAACATGCCCTATGTCAAGATGGTGGATGTGGGTCGAAAGATGATTTCCCATCAGATCAGGGGCTTTCTTGCTGGCCAGGCTGTCTATTACCTTCTCAACTTCAACCTGGCGCCACGCATGATTTGGATAACGAGACACGGCGAATCCACGGACAACGTTGCTGGCAAGATTGGCGGCGACTCTGACTTAAGCCCGAACGGACAGAAGTATGCAAAGGCCATGACCCGCTTCATTGCTACTCAACGCAAGGAATGGGCGATTCGACAGGCAAATAAAAAGGCAAACTCCCATTTTCCACCAGTCGCCGGCGACCTGACTCCTCCAAACCCCTACTACAGCCACGAGCTTGAGACGCACAACTTTTGTGTCTGGACTTCGATGCTGAAACGTGGAATCCAGACTGGCCAATACTTCTGCGACGAAGATTTTGAGGTCAAACAAATGCGCATGCTGGACGAGCTCAATGCAGGTATCATGGAGGGTCTTACGTACGAAGAAATTCGCACAAAGTACGCCGACGAGTACCTGCGACGACGCCGCGACAAGCTCGCATACCGCTACCCCGGCCCCGGTGGCGAAGGCTACCTCGACGTTATTAATCGTGTTCGGCCTGTTATCGTAGAGCTGGAGCGCATGACGGACCACTGTCTGCTCATTACACATCGTAGCGTTGCTCGTGTGCTGCTCGCCTACTTCCAGGGTCTGAAGCGTGAAGACGTGGCTGACCTGGACTGCCCCCTGGGTATGCTCTACCAGCTCGAGCCCAAGCCCTACGGTGTCGAGTTCAAAGCTTGGCGCTACAATTCTGAAACGGATGATTTCGATCACTTACCTGACTATAAGCTACGACGGGCCCCTACCATGGCCAACTAAGATGTCTGCTGTTATTTAGATGTTGGTTGGTGATGGAATCAGCGAGCTTTGCAAAGCAGCGTGTATTACTATGATGGTTTCTCTCCCTCGTACCAAGGGGTCGGTTTAGATGATTAGGCTGCGGTGGCTTTTTCTTTTATCGTCCCCCTTTGTGTCCACGGAGGTTTGATTGCCAATTTTCTTTTTCCTTTTCTTTTTCAATTGTACAACTGGAATGATCGTTACTCCGTAGCCCCCGGTCACTACCTCCCCCTTTTCCCAAGGAGGTCAAGACGAAACGGGTCTAGTTAAGCGTTCATGATTACCTTTTTATCTTCTTCCTTTTCAAGAGACGATGTCCATCTGCATTTACAGGCGTCTTCTTTTTCTTCTTCTTCTTTTTACACATCTTTCGTCCGTTCCCTCGGGTGGCTCGCTGCCATGGCGCCATACATGTGGTTTTTTTAGTCGCTTACCTGTGCAACCCTTGTTTTGAGGTTCCATAGACGAATGCTAGCTGTATGAATGGCACAATCATTGATTTACCCATCTACTTGTTGTCTCGATTCCTGTTTTTAAGCGTGCATGACGTGTAGCTATGAAACCAGGAATCACCAATTTATCTAGAAGAGAAGGAAAAAGAACGTTACGCATCATAACTATGGTATGGTCACCTTTTGTGCGACACATGATCGCTGCATCCGCGTTTATTCCGACTCATCTTTTTCTCAAAACACTACACTACACTACACTTGGCTACGCGAACACTACCTTCTAGCAACAACAACGCACGGCTCCCTCAACACCCATGTCCTCAGCCTCCTCTCCCCCAGGACATCCCCCTGCAACACCCTCTCTGTCTCGTCCTTCTCTTTTTCCTTCTCCGCCGCCTCCGCCTCGCCACCACTCCCTTCGCCACCAACACTCGCGCTGCCACTACCACTACTACTAATACTACCACCACCACTCCCCCGCATCATCTCACCCACAACCTCGGCTTCCTCAACCAGAGCACCCACCTCGTACGTGCCACTGCACAACGGCACAAGCCCCAATTCACACGTCAGTGTCGCACCGGGGTGTAGCAGCGCCAGTTTCCGCTGGAGCACGCCCGTCCACGAGAGCCGCTTGTCGAGGTCGAGTGCGAGCGCGTGGGGGAGCTGCGAGATGTGTGGTTGTAGCCGCAGAAGCGGGGATATAGCGTGGGGACTGCGGTTGTGCAGTGTTGTTGTGAGCGTGAGGAAGGCGTCTGTTTTGACGGCGAATTTGGCGCGGCCCAGCTGCTCGATTTCGGGCTCCGATTGCGTGTCTTCTTCTTCTTGGTCTTTTTGGTCGGGCATCAATGGGTGATCTGGGCTTAGACTCATGGAAATGGCCAGGTCGTCCAGCTTGATGGCTTCGACCATGCGGGGCGAAAGCCGTATGCCACGGAGTTCGAGGGTGCCGTGTCGGCGGCTGTTTTCTGCCCCGTCTTCTTCAGTCCACGTCCCCCGAATCAGGTCAAGCAGCGATTGCCGGTACCAGAAGGCTTCTCTGCTTGCGCGCTCAGTTTCGGGTGAGATCTTGCTGGTGCTGACAACGAATTGGCGTTGGTTGGCGGGGTTGAGCGACGGCACGGCTGCGTGAGGTGCGCTTAGGTACACCCTTGGGAGGATGAGGACAACACGGCTGACGTGGCCGGGTTGGATGATTTCATTGACAGCAAAGGCATTTTTCCAGGGATCGCCGTCGGAGGCGGAGCTGGTCGAATGTCGTGCTTCCAACTTGACAGATAGGGGGTTTGGCCAGGAGTTTCGAAGGTCAAGCAGAAGCATGCAGTATTCGTCGTCGTGACCTTGCGTCTTCTTGTGCTCTATGAAGGAGCGGAGGTGGGCATCAGCTTTGCCGGAGACTATGGGTTTTGCAGGTTCTGGAGTCGGTGCAGCCCAACATATGTCACCAGAGAGGGGTACTAGATCTGGCCGCTGCAGTTGAACGCTTGCATTCACAGTAATGGAGATATGAGCAGACACCTGGCGAGTGAAGAACTGATCTTCGATTTCGGATCTTCGCTTTCCAAGATTGGCGTAGTCAATCTGAATAGTGGCGTCTGTGAGTCGGGTCCGGCCAACAACTTCAATCGTAAAGTCCATCTCTGCGCCTGGTTTGATACACGGCGACTCTTCGTCTGGGCTTTGACACCAACGCAGTGACGGATAATGCGCAAGCTGGACCTCTAGCTCGTGTAGCTCGGCTAGCGGAAGATCTTTGTTTGATGTTGCTGCGTGTATTGCGGCCATTGCAGTATCCTGAAAGAATATGTGAACAAAATCAACGGCAGTCGTGGATGAAGTATTTTTAACGGTAATTGTAAACCGCTTCCTCTCACCCTCGAGCACCATGACTGCTGCTTGGGGTAGGGATACGTTAGTTATAACAATGACGGGCTGATCTGGTATTACAGAGAACTTGAGCGATTCCGGCTTGGGTTGGGACGCCGCCTTGCGGTCGATAATGGGGGCCAGGGATGATGGCGGCCTCGATGTTGGAGCTCCTAGGCACGCCTTCAGTCCTAGCTGCTTCATTTTGGGCTCCCTTTCAGGCTTCCATGGCTCAGGGAAAATGGGAAACAGCCGCTCCCGACATCCAATCAGTTTTACATAGCAGCCAATAATTTTCAATTCACCAGCCGAGCGTGCTGTCCCTGTGATCTGGAACTTCTGCGTCCTGTATGGTCCGAGCAGGAAGTGTCGTTCCACACCAACAAACTCGACACCCTCGGCAGCAAATCTCAGCGACTCCACTCCAAGCTCAAAGTCGTAAGGATTCTGCAAGGCAATGATCAATCGATACTCTTCGTTGGCAACTAGAATGGTGTTTGCAGTCGTCGTCTGTGGCTCCTTGACCCAAGCATTGTACAGAAAAGGTCCGTCTTGGCCTTTGGTGTCAGACTTTAGCTCGGTCCCTTGACGTTGGGTCAACCGAAGAGGCTCGGTTTCATCCAGGATGAATAATCCACGAACGAGGAAATCATCCCAGTACTCTGTTTCCACATGCTCAAGACCAAGCTTCTTGGCTGCACTGACTGTTCTTGAGATGTTCGAGTACAGCCGTATCTGTTCGTCTCGTGGGAGAGATACAAACACGTCGGTGCTGTTGGACTTTGGCGCAGTCCCAGGACCCGCAACCCTCAGCAAGAGGGCGGTGAAATGAAGAACACCATCGAAATCTGGCAAAGCTTCACAAAAGCTTAAACATGTTCGAAGGACTTCTAGCTTGAGACTGAGACTCCCAAAGGCCCGCATGGAGGAGACGGCAAGAATTTCATCAACCACGCGTTGGCTTGCAATGTTATCCGGTGCGTTGTCTTGGTTGTCTCTCTTTTGAGTGGGTATGATCATATCTGGTGTAATTCCCTTCGAATTGGGAATGCCATATATCCGGCCTAGTAGCCCGAGGAATGCGTCAATTCCATGCTCAGCTTCTCCCTCTCCAACACTGAGGGCGCCCGCGCCCGAGTGACTGCCACTTGCAATATTGAGAGCAGCAAGGCCAGCCGCAGGATGGACACCCATTTCAGCCGCCCCCACCTTTCGGGCTTGAATCAGACCAGGAATAAGAGATGTGATGAACTCTTTCATCACAATGGCTTTCTTGCGCTGCAATCCGAGTGATGACAAAACTGAAGCAACACCAGCCATTACCACTACGCGGTCTGTAGGACTCATTCCGGACGCTTCGACTGGGCCTGGTAATGCGCGGAACAGCATTGAAGCTATATCATTCCGCGTCGGATGGACGTTGAGCCTTGGGACGGACAAGCGCGCCTTTTGTTTGTAGGGTGTGTTTTGGACAAGATGCCGCAATGCATCGTCATCCAGGTACCCTGCTGATAGATTGATAGCGGCCAACAACTTGGAGAACCGTATGATACATTCCGAAAAGGCGAGTGGTGGTAGGGATTCACCCGCAAAGTTGGATGCCCGCGTATACAGATTCAAGATCATGGTTATCAGATCTGGCAGCAGGAAACTGAGATTGTCAACTGAATTGTCATGGTTTTGCTGCTTAGCAGATGCTGAAACATCTGGACTGCTGTTGCCTGGTGTGTGGTTTGGTGATTTGTTGTTCGATCTATCAGACCCTGAATAGCAAACTTGGGGTATCTTCTTGGGTCAGTGCTCTACCAGAGTGATATAAGCCGGCACCATACTGACCTGGAAATCCATGCCTGACCACGCAAACAGCAGCATGCAGACCATGATGTTTTCGAGGGCTTTTGCATGCCATAAATGGTCGCTCAAGGCACGTGCTTTTGCTGCGCCCTCTGTGAGTTCTCGTACAGCCTCAGTCCATTGCCCAGCGCACATGTACAGGGTACCAATCACGATGCTGATGCGACCACGGCCTTTGTTTCGGGCTCTTTCGCCTACTCCGCCAGATCCAAACCCTTGGAGGGAGACGCGGTCAGCTAGTGTATTCTTTGCGGGCGCACTGGGTTTTGCAGAGTTGTTTGGTGGTTGATGCGGAGTGCTGCCTGCATTGACTCCGGAAATCTCATCAAAAGTAGTAGCAGGTGTCCTTCCGCCTTGTGAACCGACTGAAGCAGACCGGCCGTCTTCAGTAGACAACGAAGTTCCAGAGCTTGACGGAAGTATGGGCATTGATGCGCGTTGCGTATCTTTCTGGATGTTCGATACAGGTGTTACGGGCCTACTTGGGTTTGATACTTGCGAATTACGTCTGCCCAGTTGCGACATGTCGGATGTGGCCCAGCTCGGCGTGAGCTCTGCTGCGCCATTTTGGGAAGCTGGGGATGTCAAAGTAGGAAGAGCTTGAATAGACTTGGCCAGCGTTGTCATTTCTGCTAGCAAAGTGGAAGTGAGATCGCATATCAGAGTCTTCATCGTCGTGGTCTTGAGTTGCGATTTCGGAGGAACTAGAAGTGTTTCTTCCGGCAACCGTGGATGCCGAGACTGGGACGAAGAATCGAACATTATCAGACGGTGCAGATATGTCCTAGGAAATTGCTCTCGGAGATCATCTATACCAAAAAGAATCGAATTGGCGTCTTCATCGCCAGGTGGAGGCTCGTCAAACGTTTCGGCTGAGCTCTCATCTGGCGCATGTGACGGCTGTAGCCATGCATACTCGGATGCATCTCCAAGCCCTATCACGAGCAGCGGCTCCCTGAACTGCTCAAATGGAGACAATGATAGGTGGTAAGCCGACGGCATAGATGGCGACATGTCATACAGCAGCGTTCCGTCAGGCCATGCCAAAGGGGAAAACATATCTATTTGTTGCCAAGATCAGCAAACAGAGTAGCTAAACTGGACCTTGAGGGCGCATACTGCGGTCAGGCCGAGGATCAGGGCTTACGTCGCCCAGCCGCACGAGCGACTCCTGCTGCAAAAGGTCGACGAAAGCTAGGTATCGCGAACGCTTGATGCGACCCACGGGGAGAAGCAGGGCCCGAATGCGCGCAGGCGCGATCGGGGACAGAGGATCGGCTGCCATCTCAACATCGGGGACTTTTCGACCTTCTGGTCAATGACGATCGGATTGATCAGGGGTGTGATGCTGCGATGGCGGGGGCTTGCATGGTGTGTAGGATGTTCGGACGGCGAAATACGTAGTTGGCGATCTCCAAGCTTTGGCCTCGTGGCGGTGGCCCTGAATGAGCTAAGCCACTTTCGGTGCTGGTCCCTGCGCAAGTGTCTGCAACATCCAGAGACTCACGAAACACGACGTCTCACCGACATCCTTTCATCCTTTACGGGGCCGCCGTGCAGCCTCTCATATAAAAACTTGGTGTCCTTTGCATAGCGTGGGCATATCCGGGAGTTGACTGTTTATTGCACCAAGGTACTTGCATATCCGGGATCCAACTGGAGCTTCGCCACTGCTGCCGCCTAACGCTGGCATAGCATTGTCTGCGGCATCAACGCACCCTCCTCACACCTTCATATCCAGCCTGTGTAATCTTACCACTTCTACTTTTGTCCCAGAGGTCAGGCTTGTTTCAAGCGCGATAAATCTCTCGTCCAGCTGCTGGTATCCAACAACACAATCGCCACCCATCTCGTGGACACGTTGACAACCTCCTGGCTCCCTTCCAAAAGATTGTCCGAAGATGGCTGCAATAGATTTTGCGCGGTTGCGCAATCAGACAATGGCCGATGGCCTCGACAGCGAGGTCACGGTCAATACACGTGCTCTGATCGACAAAGTCCTGGCCCGTTATTCGAGCGAGCATACAACACTACGAGAGTTGATCCAAAATGCCGCAGATGCAAAAGCAGATCAAGTCGTTATCAAATTTGAAACTGACCCATCTCTGACTGTGCCCGCTCCCCAGGGCGTCGAGGACCCCGTTCTGCTAAAGCACATTATCCAACATCATACGCTCAAGCGGCTTGTCGTCAGCAATAATGGCCAGCCGTTCACTGTCGCTGACTGGAGTCGTTTGAAGAGCATTGCGGACGGCAACCCAGATGAGACCAAAATTGGCGCCTTCGGTGTTGGATTCTACAGTGTCTTTGCCGATTGCGACGAGCCCTTTGTCATCTCGGGTGATAGGACAATGGCCTTCTATTGGAAAGGCAACATGCTGTCTACTAAAGCTGCGCCTGTACCACCTGAACACAAGACGAGAGACACAATCTTCATGCTCGAGTACCGACAAGCGAATCCAGCATCCCCCTCATACAATCCGTCAAAGCTTCCAAACCTCCCCACTTTATGTCAGTTCCTAGCTACCAGTCTCACATTTGTGGGTCTTGAAAGCATCGAACTACATGTAGACGATTATGTGGTTGCATCCTTCACCAAGAAGATCTCCTCCCCTGAGATTGTCCGTGTGCCACAAGGCTTGAAGACCGAGACTGAAGGAGGTTTAATGAAGGTGACCGATGTCACCCGCCAGCACTCTCAACTCGACGCTGCCTGGATGAACGTGATTGCGACTGCTCAACTGCCGCCGAAGAAAGCCGCCGATATCGTACAGCAGGAGGTGCGCAACGCTGGTTCGACATTGCGCAGTTTCTTTTCCAAATTCTCAACGCCACCACCTGCGCCTGCCAAGACGGTCAAACCTGCTCCCGAGAAGCAAAATACAGGTGAAGAGATAGCAGGCAATTCAAAGGGAACAATTTTCCTGCAAGTGTGCACTGTAGTAGCAGCCACCAAAGTCTCGCGAAACTTTGCAGCAGAGATTGAAAGAGCAACGAAAAAGTCACCTCCAAAGACTACTAAGATTGCTCTTTTGACCTCCCCTTACCAAGACCCCTCTGCTACTTTGACGACGGGGTCAGGAAGTTCTGCTTCGCTCGCATCTAAGATTTTTGCCGAGGTTCTGCCTACAAAGTCTGGGCGCATCTTCATCGGCTTCCCTACGGCACAAACAACGGGTTATCTTGCACACATCTCGGCGCCATCTCTGATCCCAACTGTGGAGCGTGAAAACGTTGATATGAATGCTCGTTACATATCCACGTGGAACATTGAGCTTCTGCGTGTTGCTGGTTTGGCATGTCGCATCACATATGCAGCTGAATTGGCAGCTTTGCAGGCTCAGTTTGGCAAGGAGCCGTTGGAGGCATTGATCCCAAGGACTGCCTACGTATTTCAGCAGTACACGGCGAAATCCTCCCATCCCTCTACAGCTCTTGGTGATTGCATTGATGAAGCGTTTTGGAACTGTTCCAAGGAGCGTTCTATCGATATCCTCTCAACCAAGGGCGTCATGCCAAGCAAACGAGTACGCATGCCTGCAGAGACCCTTAGCTTCCTTGGAGAAGTGCCCATGGTTCCGCAAGAACTCGCAAATGCTGCAGTCGATTTTATGCTAAACTTGCACAATCGCGGTTTCATCACCGAGCTCACCATGCATGATATTCGGCAAGGTTTGGAATCCCGCGCGCTCAACGAAGAAGAACTCTGCGAGTTTCTGAAGTGGTGTGGCTCCAAGTTGGAAAGCGGCGAAATCGACGTACCAGGCTCAAGGAGCTTGTTCGAAAACACTGTCGCTAATATCGACGTTGAACCAGAGAAGAACTCAGGCAGAATACTCGCATTGGGGGATATTGGCACATTCGTTAATCCGGCCCGCATCGGTCCACATCTGCCGCTCCCTCCTGACACCATACCATTCACGTTCACTAGGGGAATTTCAATGAGGCAATTACAAATGTTCGGATGGACAGAGTTGACGATGGTGCGATGGCTCCGACACATGACAACACAACCACAATTGGAACAGTTTACGACTGACGAGAACTTGGCTCTATCCGTGCTCACATTAACTTCCAAGTGCTGGGAGCAACTTGATGGCACCTCCAAGGATTCTGTTGTCAAGATTTTGGCTCCTCAAAAGATCATGCCCACAAAGATGGGCATGCGGCGACCAACGGAGTCATACTTTCCGACTGTAAAACTTTTTGACGATTTGCCAACTGTGAAGCCATTTGCTGGCTCAAAAGAGAAGTTCTTACTATCGCTTGGGGTACGAAAGACCATCGACCTCCCCATGGTCTTTGACCGGATGCGCAGTCGTGACGGGGGACAGACAGAGAAATCAGAGCGACCTTCCTGGAATCACGTTGATCTTATTCGTTACTTTGCATCCGTTATTAACGAAATTCCCAAGAAAGATCTAGATCGACTACGCGAGACGGCGTTCCTGCCGGGCGAGGGTTCGACTGTCAAGCCTGGTCAGCAATTCAAAGCCTCAGACCTCTATGCTCCAGATCCAGCGATAGTTGCCCTGGGTCTGACACAAATCAAGTTGCCTTTCGAGTTCAAGCCAAGTACTCGAGAGGGTGTGCTTCTCTTGAACCTCGGGCTACGGCAGTGGCCAGACTCCATCACCGTTGCAAACATACTGCATCGTGCCGGTCAGGCGAAGGATTTCCAGCTCTACACGCGTGCCATGGATTACTTGTTGTCAAACTACTACAAGAACAACTATACGGCAGAGGCAAGCCGGTTCGCTGCCCTAACCCTTCCCATACTACCGACAAAGCAGGCGCCGTTTCCCTCATTAGTCGGCCCGTTCCAGTGCTACACAAATGAACATGCAGCATGCTTAGGGTTCCCGATACTCAGAAGCGACCTTCGCAGCCATGCTGAGAAATTGGGGGTCCAGCGCGATCCGAGTATAGGCCCTTGCGTGCAGTATCTGATCAAAAACCCTCCCAAAACCAAGCTGGATGCTGAGATGCAATTTGCGTACTTAGCCTCACGAGGTTCTGACCTGGATCAATACAAGGGACTGATTCAAAGCCTGGCGACTGCTAATATCGTGCCGATATTCCGAAAGTACTACCTTGACCCGACCTGCAGTGGATTTGAGGATCGGACAAAGAACCAGACAGGAAAGACTGAGATGCGTATTCATCACTACGACCCGCCTGAGCATGTATTTGTCGGCCGTGATCAAGAATACCGCGGCATTCTCGACTACGTTCATTACGGCGCAGAAGCCACTGTCTTCCTGCTCAAAGTCGGTGCAAAGCATGAGCCCACGACACACGATTTAGCATATCTACTGGCTAAGAATCCGTCGCGCTTTCTCAACACGATTGGTCAAGAGAAATATCTCGACCTACTTAGGAAACTGGCCGAGCATGCCGGGAGTCTATGGAAAGACAAGGAGCTAGTCCAGTCACTTGTGGCTTCGAGACTGCTTCTCGGATATCGCGACATCAAGGAAGATACGAAAAAGGTTGAGGCCGGCGATGAAGACATGGATGACCTGGATGAGGATAGTGTGCATCGTGAATGGTCACTCAACAAAGCCAACGAGATTGTGATCATCGACAATGTCAATTACATGACGAGGTTCCGTGACTTCATCATTGCAGCGCCTCAAGAGGAGCTTCTAGAGGAATTTTACGCGCGCTTTGGCGTTCAAAGGGTCTCGGATCTCGTCAAAACCGACCAACGCATTGGGACAGTAGTGCGTGACCAGACGCCCGCTCAGGATCTTCGACGCGACATTCTTGAACGCGTGCGTCTCTTCCTCCACGAATACGAGCGTGATGCTTCCTCAAAGGCGATCCGACATGACGCCAAGTGGCTGGGCTCAAACTTGACGGTCCAGTGCGTTTCCGATATCTCCATTCGGTACTCACTCGCAGAGCGGAATGTTGCTACCTCATCGAGGAAGTCGGCAGTGATTATCAAAGTTCGTATTACTGGTTACGTGTTGAACATAACACCAAAATATGACTTGTATGAAGTGTCGAGCGAACTCGTCAGGCTCCTGGTATCGCGGCCAAAGCGGAACGATGCGATCGCGCTTGAGCGTATTTTGACTGAGCCGCTTCGTCGGTTGCAACAAAAGGGCATTAACGTAGAGCGCATTCTACGCCGGAAAGAACACGAAGCCCGCATCGCCAAGCAAGCAGAGCAAGAGCGGGAAGAGGAAGAACAGCAGCGCATGGCAGAGCAGGCCAAGTCAGGTGGGCTTGTCAAGTCGGAAAACCGAGAAAACGTACCGCCTGCAACACCTGAGAAGAGCAAACACGTTCCCGGTGCGTTTGACAGTCCAGAGACGGGCATGGAAGTTGCGAACCACGGACCGCAATCCGACAATGACAGCCTCATCAATAACTGGGCGAAGAAGCTCGGGTTTAGAAACACATCCACGCCTCCTCCCAGCGGCACCGACGGACCCCAGATCAGCCGCGACATCCAAGCCACCAAGTCCAACATCCAGAACGCCATCAAAGAGTGCCGCCCAACGGGCATGTCCAACATCAACACCAAGCACCACCAAGACGCCACGGAGCTGGACCGCGGTGGCTACTGCCGCGGCGAACAATGGGAAAACCTGCACAAAGCCTTTTCGGTCCCCTTTTCCGGCCGCCACGTAGACATTTACTATGGGCTTGACGAAACAGCACCGCTATCCGATCTGCAATCGCATCTGCAAGCCTTCCTCCCGCTCATCTTCGGCCTCACATCCATCTTCAGCGTCAACCCCGCCGCCGTCAACATCTTCCTCGACAAGAAATCAAACACCGTCGCCTTCAACATGAACGGCAGTCTCTTCTTCAATCTCGCCTGGTTCATCGCCCTGCACAGCGACGGCTGCCAGACTAAAGAGGGCAAACTCAGGGCCCTCGATAGCTGGTTCTGCACCTATTGCCATGAGCTCGCGCATAATCTGGTCGCAGATCATAATGCGAGGCATAGTTGGTATCAGCAGCAGATCATCATAGAGTATAGCCAGCAGTATCGCGCTGCGCTGGAGAATTTCACGCAGGGTATGTTGATTTAGGGATAGTGAAGAGGAAGAGAGCGTGAGATTCTGGATGCATACATGACAGTCATTCTTTTTTTGTGGGTGTCTTTTCTTTACGCTTATTGTTATCATCGTCATTATTTTAGAACATAGAGCTATACATGAGTGTTCTTGTCTTGTCTTGTCGTATTCATCTTCCCTGGATACATGGCTTGAGCTTGTCTTTTTCTTTTCCATTGATATCCATTCCCAGGAGCCACATGGTGAGAACAACACATTATGGCGATGCTAACAACAACAACAACAAGAGAGGGAGAGATATGAGGAACAACAAGTCCAAGCATATATGCATATAAATGCTCCGCTAATCCCAAAAATGCTACATGCCAGACACTGTTTACAAAGGCAAACGGAACCGAAAAATAAATAAAAAGTGGGGGTATAATACTTTTTTTTTTGCAAATACAGAGGCAAAAAAAAAGAAACGGCCGTAAAGATCATCAAGTAATGAAATTGGCCCTCAAGCGTTATCCAGCTCCTTTGCCTCACGTCTCTTCCTCCACTTTGGCCCCATTCTGATCTCGAGGAACATGAGCGGCAACAAACAACAGCAGATGGCGCCCCACAAGGTATATGTCCAGCCGTCGCCCCAGGCGCTTGTCATGCGATCGATGACAGCGACGAGGATGGCGGCGAGCGAGCAGCGCACGAGGTTCGTACAGGCGGTTGCGCCCGAGCTCCGGGATTGCAGAATGTCAATGTTGAGTGTCATGGTGGTGTTGAGGATGCCGATGGAGGTCCAGCCGAGCAGGATGCCGAGGATAAGCGGAACGGCAATGTGTGCTCGGGCCTGGATGGTCCAGCCCCAGGCTATGACGCACACGATGAAGAGGGAGAGGTAGAAGGGCATGATGCGGAGGCGGGCGTGCTCAATGGTAAAGTTGTCGCCGCAGCGGGCTTTGATGCGTGCGTATTCCCAGTCGAGCATTTTGCCCGTTAGCGTGGAGCCGATGATCATGCCTGCGCCGACGGGGAGGTAGCATAGTCCGAGGGCTGTTTGGGAGAGCTGAGGGTAGATTTTGGCAAACGACGAGGAGATGGTGGCGGTGATGGTGTAGTTGACGGCATAGACTAGGCCCGTGAAGGTGAGCAGGACGATGACGTCTGGGTAGGTGAAGAGGACAAAGGGGTTGACTGAGTGCTTTGGCTTGGTGCGCGTCTCAGGGTCGAAAGCCTCTTTCGTGGCTTTTTGGCCAACAATGGGGATGATGGCGCGTTGGATGCGGGGCACGGGGATGCTGCCGTTGCCGGCGATGGAGCGCAGTGTTTCTGGGAGGAAGAGGGCAATGCACAAGAGGCAGACGGCGACCATGATGACAATGGACCAGAAGATGGAGCGCCAGCCGAGGCCCTGCGACAAGGCACCTCCAATGGCGGGTGCGATGCAGGGCGCGAGCATGGGACCGAGATTGAACATGCCAAAGTAGCCGCCTCGTTCTTTGCTCGTCGAAATGTCGCCAATGACGCCCGCGCCCAGGGCAATGGTGCTGGCGCTACCGCCCGATTGGAAACATCGTAGGAACAGAAGCAGCCAGAAGGAGTTGGTGGGACATAGCGCTAGGCCGATGCTGGAGGCGACGAGAATGCTTAGACAGACTAGGTAGACGAGACGGCGGCCGTAGCGGTCGCTGATGGGGCCCCATAGCATAGGGCTGATGCCTTGGAAGACAAGGTACACGGTAACGGTTTGGTTGAGGTCGTCGGCCGACTTGCCAAAGGCGCGAGCCAGTGTGGGGATGGCTGGGAAGTAGATGTTTGCTGGCAGAGGGCTGTGGAACGGGCGTTAATCACAGTACTCATAACTAGCCTTGTGCGAGCGAGTGACGTTACCTGTAGAAGCCTGCTAGTGCCACCATGGCAACAATCATCCATTTCTCCCTGTTGGTGTAGATACTATACGGAACTTCGACCTCGCCCTTGACAGGTACCTCTGGAACGACGGCCGCCTCGTCGAGCGGCACGGGCTCTGGCTTGTCGTCATTTGGCACTGCAGCCATGCTCACTTCACACACACACACAGCCGGGAAAGCGGCGTCGGGGTCCGAGGATGCAGCGGGAAAAGGCGAGGTAGAACGAGGAGGTGGGAGTGGCACAATGGAGGCCTCATACGAGGACTTGGGTCCCCGCAGGCGTTCTTAACAGCCTCCCCCGTGGTAACCTAAAGGCTTGCATCCCACCGACGACCCGCTACTCCAGACCAACCTCGGCGTATCAATCACCGCCTGGTGGCATTGTTGGGCGATGTGTGGCCGTTGGCGTCCAGAGAGGGACAATGGGGCACGACCGGCAGACCGGCGAGATATCGGCAAGGGCGTCTATCATCAGCCCACAGTGTTGGCCAGCAAGCTGCAAGCATGCACCCGACTGCGAGCGGCTACACGCACGTCGAGAGCAATACGTCGGCGCTCGTCATGCAACCAGATTAGCCCTCGAGGCCTACTCTGGTCTGGGTTAGGGTGCGGCTACTAAGCGGGCGTGGGCGCGGGCACGTCGGCTGCCTGAGGCGCGGGATCGAGTAGATCGCCAATTAGCCCGCTCTCCGATTGTGCGGCCGACGGATACGCCACAAGGGCTGGCTTGGGTTCGGAATTGAGACGCTCGTCCACGGCAATACCGGGGAGAATTTGCAACTGCTCGCACGCCACCCCGATGCAGCGGGCGTCCATGGTGGCGGTGGAGCACACTGACTCAGGCATATTTGTACCATAGGCCTAGACGAGCAATCCGCGCCCCTCGCACGGTCAGGACCAGAATTTTTTTCCCTCCCTCCTGGACGCCTGGTGTGGGGGTGATCGCTGTCCTTGACCAAACCGTTATTACCGCCGCCCTGGAATTGATTACAATATTCCTAACCAACTCACGTGTGCCTTGATTCTCGGGAAGAAGCGGCCAAATCCTACATCTGGTGCTGAAGAGAAGAAAAAAAAGAAATGGCATCTCTCTCGGACGTGGGAACAAGCAAAGACGGCGGGGTAGGCGGGGTTCAGTCCAAAGACGACGACAAGCACCTGAATCTCGTGCAGGTGGGAGCATCAGACAGTGATGTCACAGCAGGCAAGCAGAAGTGGCTGCGAAGATGGAGAGGCGTGCTGAGCTTCCTGGAAAACAAAGGCGATGTCGAGGTCAGAGGGTGCACACCGGTGCCGTATGACGAGAGGAGGGAGACCAAGTATTCACACATGTTCACGCTTTGGTTCTGCGTGAGTTGCAATCCTTTGCCGTAAGTGCTCGACGTGCGTGGCCATGGAGTATAGCGGCTAACCATGACACAGAGTCACGTTTGGCATGGTAGGGACCATGTCATTTGCGCTCAGTCTGCGAGACGCAACACTGGTCATCCTCTTCTTCACGCTCATCTCCACGGTCCCCGTAGCGTACATGTGCACATGGGGCCCCATGACCGGCATGCGACAGCTCGTCCAGGCGCGTTTCTCGTTTGGGAAATACTTTGTGTCGCTTCTGATACTGCTCAACCTTGCAACCCTCACCGGCTTCTGCGTCGTTGACAGTGTCATTGGCGGCATGGCACTATCCGCGGTGCAAGACGGGACCACCATCAATGCCACGGTTGGTATTGTTCTGATTGCTATACTGTCACTGTTCATATCCTTTTGTGGCTTTGGCGTGCTGCACCATTACGAACGATGGGCGTGGATCCCAGCCCTGCTGGCGCTCGTCATTGCTGCGGGATGCGGAGGACAGAAGCTCAGTCATCAAGCTGTTGTGCCTGCCGCGACGCCATCGCAAGCCCTGTCGTTTGGTGGTCTGGTGGCCAGCTTCATGATACCATGGGCAGCCCTGGCCAGCGACTTCTCGACCTACTTGCACCCCAAGGCCCCTCGGCTCCGCATCGCACTATACACGTACGCTGGCCTTGCCGCGCCCACGATCCTGCTGATGACGCTGGGTGCAGCCATGGGCGGCGCCACACCCAACGTGCCGTCATGGCAAGCAGGCTACGAGGCGAATGCCGCCAGCGGAGTCCTGGCAGCCATGCTGCAGCCGGCTGGAGGATTTGGACGTTTTGTCACCGTGGTGCTGGGCTTCAGCATGCTGGGCAACCTGTCGGCAACCATGTACAGCGTGACGCTGAACCTGCAGATGCTGGTGCCGTGGCTGTTCCGCGTCCCACGCATCGTCTTCAGCCTCGTCATCACGGCCATTGTGATTGGCGTGGCCGTCGAGGCGGCAAAGAGCTTCTTCCTCAACCTGGAAAACTTCATTGGCGTCATTGGCTACTGGAGCTCAGCCTTTATCGGCATTGTCGTCGTCGAGCATGTCGTGTTCCGAGGCGGACGCTTTACGGGCTACACCGAGGATGCAGATGCGTGGGACGACGCGCAGAAGCTGCCGGTAGGAGCCGCGGCGCTTGGGGCTTTCGTAGTGTCGTTTGGGCTCATTGTGCCCAGTATGGGCCAGACGTGGTGGACGGGGCCCATTGCAGCGACTACGGGCGATATCGGACTGGAGGTGGCCGTGGTGTTGGCGGGCGTCTTGTATGCGCCGCTGAGGCTGTGGGAAAAGAGAACGTGGGGGAGGTGAGCAGGGGGAGGCGTTTCCGGGAACTTCCTGGCACATGTCCGTTTGCGGCATAGCGCGTGAAGCAGGTGAAGGACCTTGTTGCCTCGGTTGTGCCTGTTACCCCAGCCAGTGACGTTCACAAGCCAGGCTGGAGCCGCACGCCAAATGCGGAGACGCAAACCCAGCCAGCCCTGTGATGACCAGGGCAGCCGTCTTTTAGGAAATTCTTGCTCTCCTCTTCCTCGTCCTCGTCCCTGTTCTCCTGCTCCTCGACTCCATCGCTCCTTCCTCGAGACAACACTCCACGGGCTGCGCCTTCCGCATACACACATCCACACCAACGCGCCTTCCCCGCTCGCTGCGCTTTCCCTCCTTGTCCATCCATCGCGCACCTCTCGCCTCCGCATCCGCCTGCGCTTCCGCTTCCGCTTCCACTACATCTACATCGACATCGACATCGACATCGACATCGACACCTGCACCCGCACCCGCATCCAGCCATGGCCCAAGTCCAGGAAAAGGCGGCCGAGTCGACATCGTCAGTCCCCCACAGCGCCGCCGCGCCGCAGAGCGACAATGTTGCCCATGCCCTCGCCGGCGCTGGCGGCGGCCTGCTGTCCATGGCCCTGACATATCCGCTCATCACCCTCTCGACCCGCGCCCAGGTCGAGTCGAAGCGTGCCCAGTCATCAACGCTCAATGCCGCCCGCCGCATCATCAAGCGCGAGGGCGTAGCCGGCCTCTACGCCGGCATGGACTCTGCCCTCTTTGGCATCACCGTCACCAATTTTGTGTACTACTACTGTATGTACCTCGGCCCACGCCCCGTGCCAGCTCGTCTGACATTACCATACTGACTCGGCCAGGGTACGAATGGACACGCTCCTTCTTCGAAAAGGCCGCCCTCAAGGCCGGCCGCGCCTCGTCCAAACTCACCACGATTGAGTCCATGATTGCCGGCGCCATTGCCGGCAGCGCCACGGTGCTCATGACAAACCCCATCTGGGTCATAAACACGCGCATGACGACGCGCAAATCCGAAGACTCGGAATCCCTGCCCGGCGGCGCCCCCGCCCCAAAGGCGCCTTCTACCCTTGGCACCCTCTTCGCCCTGGTCCGCGACGAGGGTCCCGCCCGTCTCTTTGCAGGTGTCATGCCCGCACTCGTGCTCGTCATCAACCCCATTCTGCAATACACCGTGTTTGAGCAGCTGAAGCAGCTGCTGGAGAAGCGCAGGCGCGTCACTCCCAAGGATGCTTTTTACCTCGGTGCTTTGGGCAAGTTGCTAGCCACCAGCATTACCTACCCATACATCACGGTCAAGAGCAGGATGCATGTTGCAGGCAAAGACGGCCCACGGGAGAGCATGATGACCACGTTCCGCAGGATCATTCGCGAGGAGGGATATACTGGTCTCTATGGAGGTATGTTGCGTGCCGGGCTCAGGACAGGATGGAAACTAACATGCGCCTAGGTATTGGGCCAAAGGTCACGCAGAGCGTCATTACCGCTGCCTTCCTCTTTGCGTTCAAGGACGTTCTCTACGCATACATGGTGCAGGCACGCAAGAAGCTCGCCTTGCGCAGGGCGTAGGACATGACTAATTGAACAAGTCACTGCGCTAGCATGTGATAATCTGCATACCTCAACCATGGAATCACAACACACTAGACCCCGCACCCGCGTCATTGTATCACACCCAAGAACCTATCGCAAGCTGTCAAATACACAAGTATCTATCCTTGCTTGACGTCTCTTCTCAAGTGCTTGCTAGAGTAATAATCACTATATACCCTGGAGCTAACAGTCCTTAATCAAAAGAAACCTTTGCATGTGTGATCTTTTATAAAATCTCTAACTACTATGGCAGCGATGGAGTACTGCAGCTCAAAAGTCCGGTCCCTGACTTCTTTTGTGCTGCAATTGGTCAGTAGGCAAGAAAGTAGATACAATAGTAGCTGCCGTAAGGCTGTCGCATTGGGAGGTGGTTGCCTTTTTCCTATTTCTCCTAGCCATCACATATACACCACCCGAAATTTATATGTATATGTAATACTACACAACACTATGTATAGTATACCTATTTAAGGTAACACTTCTAGTAAAGAACAAACACTCTTGAGAATATAGAAGGAGATGAACGTTGATAGTAAAACTTATCGATATGTCACTCTTTTTCAAGTTATTCTTCTTCAATTTAATACTTGTTGATTTCTATTCACTTACCATAATTTCAAGCATTTCCTGGAATGTTTTCCTCTTAGAAACACGAGTAACTCAGTTCTTTCTACCTGCCTATTCCTACTCTCTGATCATTGTTATTTCACTTTCGTGTGACTTACTACGCATGCCTCTTCAATCTCACCATCAGAGAAAATGCATTCTCGCATCATAATGCCAGTCATCACTCCATCTTTCCTGTTTGAATCTTCAGGGCTCACTGAAGTTGGCTGTCGACATGCTCAACGACACCAAAACAAAGATTTCGGGCTTTATTCCAATATATCGATGCCTTGGTTTTATCCAGACAAAAAAAGCGACATGTACATAGACTGTGATGAGACTTGATCATTTTCAGTTTATGTTGGTTTAACAGGATTCAACCCATCATAGGAATTCGGATAATTCCATACTTGGTCGGTCCAGGCCGAAGCCCCACTTCCAGCCCGTGCCTGGTGGTTGCCTTATTGACGATTTGATTGCCACCATGCTGTTGGACCTTTCATTCGGGTGTCAACGCTGAGAGTGACCATTTCCTACCAGTCGAACCACTCATTGACGGCTGAGGGGTTGACACCGTCAACACGTCTCCTGAGCAGCACCTGGAAGCTGCATTCCGACCCTATCATGCCGTCCGCAACCATGCCGCCCAAGGTGAATATCAAGGTCACGATGACAGAGCGCGTATTTCCTCAAAGTTCAACGCAGAATGAGCAGGCAATCCCACTGTCGCTACTGGATGCGACTACCGCCAATTTTGCTCTTACAAATGCTATATGGCTCTTCGAGCCTCTCAATGAGAAGGATGTGGTCAACGTCGCTGTGCATCTCCGCCAAACACTTAGCACTGCGCTTGCTTCGTATCCTCAATGGGCCGGCCAGCTCAAGTCGATTGCTGTCGTCGACGATGCGTCGGTTCCCGCTGAAGCAAAAGAGTTTCCAGCTCATGCCCGTCGCTTTGGTCGTGTGTACGCGCACTTTGGGGCCTCCGCAGACGTCGGTGTGGAGTTCATCTCAGCAACAAGCTCTGCTACGACGGACTCACTCTACCGGACAGAGCGTGTCAAGACTCGGCCACTTTGGGATCGCAAAGACGACAATATCGGTGGATTTGTGCCTGCTGTCGACATTGCGCATGCTCTACAACCAAACGAGCCCGATGCCGCGACGGGATTGCGCAAGCCGATTATGGCTATCCAATGCACCACCTTGTCAGATGGTGGTTTTGTCCTCGCTGCTAAAACGGCGCATCCTTTCGCCGACATCACAGGTCTTATCCGCTTCGTCAAGGACTGGGCAAGTGTGAGTAGTGCCGTCATCAAGGGCCTGGCCGTCCCAGTCCTGACTCCCGTCTTTGAGCCGGCGCGTCTGGACAGCCTTGCTGCAGGAGACATCAACGCTGAGGAGCCGGACCCGGCCATTATCAGACGAACGGAACGTTTGCCCTTGCACAGGTACGATTGGTGGGCTGCGCCGGGAAAGCCTCCCGCGCCATTCCTCGATGCGGCCAAACTGCTATCACCAGCAGGCAAGCCTATGCCATGGGCTGAGTGGGATCTCAAGGCGCCTGTTTCCGACTATACCATTCATCTTACCACCACGCAGGTCGATTTCCTCTTGAACGAAGCTACCAAGGGTGCTGACGGCCATGGCCCGAGAATCAGCAAGCATGATGCCGTATTGGCACACATTTGGTCTTGCGTTGTGCGTGCACGTCAACTCGGGAAGGACAACGGCTCTGTCCATTGCAATCTCGTACTTGGCGTTCGATCCGTTTTCAAGCTGGGTGAATACTTTTTGGGCTCTCCAATCATCATGATGAATGTTGAGCTGCCGGGCTCGGAGGTTGGCTACGAACAATCCAGTACCGCTACCGTAGCCATGGGTCCCATCGCCCGAAAGATTCGGCATACCATCTCTACTGTCAGCGACCCAGCAAACCTCGCAGATCATCTTCACAGCGCTGCATATGAGAAGTCTCCTCAGCGTATATGGCAGGCATTCCTTGGCCGGCGCCATATCCTGGTGACAACCTGGGCGCGCGCCGGCATCTACGACGTCGACTTTGGTCTTGGCTCGCGCATACGATATGCATACGGCATCGTGCCCAACTTGGACGGCGACATTCTCATCAAAGAAGCACCCCCATCTTCTGGAGAGTTCTTGTCTGCATCTCGGCCGTCTTGGACCGACAGCGGGGTGGATATTTCGATCCATATTTGCACCGAGGATATGGAGCGATTGCTCATGGATCCTTTGTTACTACCGTGTCTTGATTAGATATCTCAGCATCTCTGCTGCCCATCAATAATTCGCTATTGACCTGCTCGCATGGCTCTTCAGATTGTGATTGTGGATGTGGAGGCGTAGAGTCGAAGTGGCCCGGTACAAAATGTCTGTAATTGGCTACCGCTGTTTGTTGTAATCGGAGGCCGACAGAATTTTACACTTCGAAATAGAATAGTCAGAGAGTACTCAGAATGGCTAGCATAGCAGCTAAAGTCGCACTCCTTCTCAGCACCGCCACGGGCTGTAGGAATGTTTGTATAGACTAACAGTTAGTAAGTGATACAGTGAAGCAAGCGATGATTTTCGATTTTTTTTTTCGCGAATCGAAGTTAGGTATCACTTCTAATAATACATGAACCAAGGTGAACGGGCCTATTATTACCGGGCAGATTTACAGATAAACAGCCGGTTGTAATACGGAAATAAACTTGCAGAGCACCTAGACAGATACGAAAAAATGGGAGTGCTACATGGAATCAGGCTTCGAGCAGGATGGCGACCAGATCATACGATACACATGTCTGCAGGATGATTATGAAATACGTAGTTACGACAGAGAAAGGTCTCCACATGTTTACCACCATCGTTCATAAGCATGAGTCTTATCTATCTGCTGCTCTATCTATCCTTATACTACGCTACTTCAAGTCCTATCTCATCCCTATACAGTATAGTTTCCTATATTCCTAAAATCTTACTTTATAGGTAAGCTCGTATTGCCTGATTAATACCTAGTTAGTGCGCTTTGAAATTCACTAATATATGTACAATTGTAGTAGGTAATATCCCTCCTATAGTGTGGGATAGCAGAAAATGAAGTAGCCCAGGATAGTCGTTATAGCCCAGCAGTTCTCTATTACAACAGATATACATAATGTTATATTATCTTGATAAGTATTACAGCGGATTGTACAGTAGAAACACACATACTAAAAATCTCTCACTAAGCACTAACTCTATTACAGTAGCAGTACGGTACAATAAACGCCCTGAGCTCATGATTCAAGATAGCCATCCCCCCCCCTAGCAATGGAAAACCAGTAGCAAATCCAGAAAGGCTTCTTGTCTAGGCACTGGCCACTGTGACGATCTCTTGACGAATCTATAGCAACTCGTGCATAAAGTCCGTAAAAGCGTTGAACCGGTGTGACGAAACCAAATTAAACCGACACGTCATGGCGATGGCTCCTATGGTTAGTCTTGTAGCGTTCTGGGCTTGCTAGAGGTTCTGATGTACGCTTATTTATTGAGCTGCGGCTATTTGTACGTGGTTATAGAGCTCCTCGATTTTGCGTCTTGTATACTACATACAGTCACACGATTGGATTCATTGTGCGAATTCGTGATTGCTGATTCCGGACTCTGCACTTCATCTATATCAGTATACACGCTCCAACCATGCTAGCTTTCTGTTGGGTGTGGGCCGCTCTTGTCTTTCCGGCCCTGGCCGCTCTGGGATGGGGTGGTGCGTAACGCATGACATTGACTTCTTCTCGTCGTGCAAACTGACTATATTGTAGGTGAATGCAGAATCCAATCAGACTGTTGCTTTTGCGACCCTGGCAGCGGTTGTCTGCTCACTTGTTTTCGTCAGTCGAGACTTGTATCCACACAATAACAAGGATTCTGCATGCTAATCGATACACAGCCGACCATACCTCTACGACTGGACGACGCTGCAAAGCTGGAGGCGCTTCGGATTGCGGTATTGAGCCGTGTAATTGCTAGAACTGGCTACTTGTGCGCAGACCTAAATTTTGTATATCGTGTATGTACATTGCATGCATGCACTTTGCAGCTTGATTTACACAGTACAGGGCGTAGGTAGAGTAAGATGTATCCGTATTGCTATGGCCTATAATAGTGATGCAGAGCGGTGGAGTTTTAGCTATCAAATCCAACACAAGTCAGTCAGAAACGACAATCTATCCTTTTGCAGTGTACTTTGGGGCCATCAATTCACTGAATATAGCAAGACATTTTGTCATCCGGCAGAGCGTTGGGATTCACACCATGCTTGGGCAACAGTACTCCAGTCATAGCGATACCGACTGCGAAATCTGAGAGTGTTAGGTCTGTTGTAGTGGTCTTCCGGAGAAACCTGTACTATATTCTGGCGGGAAATCATAACTGATGGTCTTGAGTGCACTTCCGTGAAATTTGGCGTCAATTGGTACTTTTGCATTGATGAGCTGAGTCGCGATGCATCGATCCATAGTCTCTTTTCCCACAACAGTGCGAGGGAGACATTACTTTAGCATCAAAGTTGCTAGATAGGGCACCCGATTGTAGCAACATGCTATCCAGTGAAGGAGTGCAATTTGACAGGTCAACAGCACGATGCCAGGCGCTTCCTAATTGTTCGTCTGGACCGACATAGGCTCCTGCTTCGAGAAATAATCTTGTAATACCCTTTATGTGTGTGCTAGAGAGCAGCACTTAGTGCGTTAGCGTGACACCCGTCCGGTACATTGAGCCGATTGGAAAACATTGCTTGGTGCTTTATGCTCATGTCATAGTCCATGGCTGAAGCTGCATGAAGGGCATTACCATACCGCCCGCTATGTGCATTATAATTGGTAATTTTTCAAGGAGTCATTTTATAATTCCCTCAAAACCTATGGGACATGCATAACATAACAGGAAGAACATTTCTTTCGTTATCCTTCGGACGTGGGAGTACTACAAACCCAAATAGTACATTCAAATTCATTTCAAATACACTGCACTATCGGCGGCACACAGTTCAAGAGTGAATAGCGTCACTTCCGCTACTGGGTTTCCTGCCTTTTGAGCGAGGCGGGCCAAAACCCGGTCGAGTATTTTTGCCAGCTTCCATTCTTCGAATTTTTCCTCTACCACGGGTTCAAGATCCTGAGACTGGGTTGAGTAACCAAGGCAGACCATGTTTGTTGCAAATGAAATACATGTTTTCAACATTCCATCCAGTTACTTTTTCAAGCCATTCCAGCAGCTCGGACCAGTAGCTACACTCGTCTAATGCAACTAGCATCGTGTAGACTTGTGGTAACGGCTGGATCATCTGGCATGCTATATGCAAGAGCCCTTAATAATATAGCTGTTGTTTTCCAATGTGATGCGCTGAGAAGAGATCATCAAGATTGATGGGTATTTCGGCCACTTGACGTGAAAGCTGGCCAACTAAAAATTGTAGCATTGGCTTAGCATCTTGTTTCTGTGAAGCGTTGAAACTGGAATGAAATAAGCAGCGGTATATGCAAGATGCTGTTTGAAACATCGGAAGACGTCTTGCAAGGTGGTAGAAGTATAGCTTCCTAGCCGATCTGCGGCCAATAGCCAATGTTCTACATTGCTGAGTTTTACATTGCTGAGTTTTGCATCTCTGTTAGGGTGTCTAGCCTTGAGGCATATATGTGAGTCAAATCCAGCGTCTTCTGAGAAATCTGTAATCACTCTCGTCATTCGTTTCAGCAAATTCTCTATGCCTTCACCGTATAGGGGCGACGGCATATGGATATTGGAGATACCCAGCGATAAGTACACCCGATCCTGCTCATGTGTAGTCTCTCTTCTTTCATCCCACACTATCCGTTCCTTGAAACTGGAACTTGAATGACTTGAGTTCTTGGGGGGACTTTTATTGGTGTGCTTGTGATTTTAAAGATCTCCTCCGCATGTAAATATATATGCTACAGAAGATTATTGTCCTTGGAGAAAAACACGCAGTATTGACAAGCTGAAGTTGGGTGGGAGAGACATCGCCACATAGCTAACCTGTCTAGTCCGAGATTACGAACTGTAGGAAAGGCGCACTAATGAGCCGCAGCACGACTGATCTACTTGCTCCAGACTTGCTCTCACGATATCCATTTCATGCTATAAGCAACTCCCATTTGTTTGTATGAGTGATTAAAACATAGTGACGCAGCGGATCTGGCAACACAATATGGACACGATAGAGGACTGCAGTGGGGTCCTGCATCCTATACCTTGTACCTAATGAATAGGCAGTATGCACGCCATGAGCATTTGACAAGAGCGTGAAGCACCATCCATAGACTTGGCCCGAGAACACAAGCACCAAGAGGCTGCCAAGCAGAGGTACAGTGCAGGTTCATCGTGAGGAGCAACGATACACATCACTCAAGAGGAGTACGAATCAATATTGGCCAGGTACTTCATGATCATTATTCGAAATCGTATCGCATATACCTCCACGCTTCTCATACCATCCAAGTCGCCCGGCTTTGGTCACGGTTCCATGTCGCAACCCTAAATATACAAATACATGCGGAGAAAAGGATGCCGCTCCAGTAGACCAGAAGCAGAGCCCATAGGGCAGTGGCTGTCAAAAAAAGAGAAGATACTCGCCGTGCTAGGATCGCTCAACTAAACAAGACTGGGACCGATAGTGCATTTCCTGCAGTAAATAAAGCAATTATGGCTGAAGTGCGTGCAGGAAGTAAAAGCTCCTCTGGCCAACTAAGCAGCAGGCTGAGCACTGAGATCAGCACCACCGCGGCCTCGAGGAGCGCCGCGGCCACGATAGCCAGAGCCACGGCCACCACGCCCGCGACCGCGGCCGCGTCCACGGCCCCGGTAGCCATCGACACTGCCTTGGCCGAAGGTTTCCATGTTCTTCTGGCGTTCTTGGTTGCGGAACTCCTGGCCACGCGTGGCGGCTTCTTCCCTATCCTTGAGTTCGCTCGAAATGTTGTCAAAGAAAGAGCTCTTGTCGTACATTGAGCCACCAGGGATGACGACCTCTTCCTTGTCCTTGGACGATGCGTCAGCCGAGGGACCCGCACCGCCTTCACCAAGCGGCGATCCGGAAGCAATGGCCTCTTTGATCAAATCTTGCTTATTGAACTTCGCGTTTGCGGATTCAAAGTCAAAATCGGTTGTGGGTACCTCCATCTTGGGATGCTGTGCATGAACACCACCTCGACCTCCCCGCCCACCCCTACCACGGAACTCGCCTGCAACACGTTGACGTGGTTGATGTTGACGGTTCTGGTCGCGCATGCCCTCGACTTTTTGCGCCAAGTTGTTCATATGATCCGAAGCAGGCACTTGACCCTGCAGCTGACCCCCAGCTTGGCTCTTGTTCTGGATGTTGAGCTTCGCCATGGCCTCAGCCACCGCAGCAGTCGCCAGCTGCGTAGCGTTCTGTGGGGTAGCGTTGGGAACCTGGGCGGTCGCAACAGCAGCGACGGCTTGCTGCGCATGGGGCGCGGTCTTGTTAGCCCTCGGGCTTGGAATGGGAACTGCAGGAATAATCCGACCACCCTTTGGTCCACTGGGTGCACCCTTGGCCGACGCAAGCTGTTGGGCAGTTTGGGGATGGGGGGGTGCCAACGCAGCCGATACGTCGGGCTTCGAATCGACCGGGGGCGGGGGAGGCTGTTTCGCGCCAGCAGGTGTGGGAGTAGCGCCAGAAGCCTTTGCGCCGTTCTTGGGCTGCGACTTGGCCGATGCACCATCCGCCTCCGCAACCTTGGGTTGTTGCACTTGACCAGGCTTCTCATCCTTGCCGGCCTGCGGTCCTGATGGGTTACGAGGGCCCTGTGGAGGTTGGTTCTGATTCAAGCCAGGAGGGCCGATTGGCATGTTTGGCGAGAACGGCCCGGGTGGCTGATGGAAGCCCTGGCCCGGTGGAAACCAGCCAGGAGGTGCGCCAAACGGCGGCATGCCAAATGCGCCTGGCGGTCCACCTGGAGGGAAAGGGCCTGGTCCACCAGGGAACCCACCCTGAGGACCGAACCGATTGCCATAGGGGCCTCCAGGGCCACCGAAAGGCGGGTAGCCGCCTGGAGGGAACTGGCCAGGCTGAGGGAAGTTCTGCGGCTGCTGCTGGCGACCGGACACATCTTGCGGGCTGCTCTCTTGCCGAGCCTGAGCTTGTTGTACCTGTGGCGCATGCGTCGCGTCAGCTTTGAGCTTCGAAAACGAGTAACAAGAAGCGGCGTCGAGGTAACGGTCTCAGAAGGAAGGCAACGGAAGATATCCACACGGTTTTGCGCTCTCGGTGGTTTAAAGATTTACATCCGAAAATTTTACATCATCGGGAAAGAAACAGGGGCGAGGCTGTATAGACTTACTCCGATGATGGCGGGGTCCTGAGGCATTGCAGGCGGCGCCTTCTCTTTGACCGGCTCCTCAATGCGCAAATCCTTCACATCGCTGCCTCGAAAGACAATCTGCTCATATACCACGTCTGATGGAGGATACTCATCCTTGCCGCCCTTGCGCCCCTCTGTGCCAAAGGATCGCACGTTGTCTAATGAGACTGTGGAAGCTTCTGAGTTGATCTCGACGAGCGTGCCGACATAGCTATGGCGAGTCAATGGCTGCAATAACCCAGCATCAACTGGGTACTGACCGGATGTCGCTTTTCGAGATGAGGGAAATGCGAGATCTACGCGTCGGGGGTCAGTGGTAGCTCGGGGGCCCATTGGGCGCGGCTGCGACTCACCCGATGAACTCGGACATGGCTGGGTAAGGTGGGTATCAAAACGGGTATCAAAGGAATAGAAGCTCAATGGGGAAAGGAAAAAGGCAGGCAAAAGTAGTGGACGGCGTAAAAAGTTGATGGGGGGAGAAAGTGAGGGAAGGTTGGAGAGAGGTCGGTCGTGGGTTGGAGCTGAGAGAAACTTGGCGCACGTTTAGCGAGGCGTAGGCTGGGAGCTTGAGCCTCTTGCCGGCCTACCTTTACCCCACACTGCCTCATGTGCATGCACCACCTCGACGGCGTGTATCGTTTGGCTTCACCGGTCCATGCGCACTGCTGCGATCCATGACCAAGCGGACTACATGACCCTAGAGGTCGCGAAGTGCCACACCATCCCATCCACAGAACCAGCTTTCCCACGGGCTCGACGCGGTATACCGAGGTACCCGAGCCATGAGCGTTACCACGGATGGGCTGAATGACGTCTACGAAGCGCTGGAGCGCTACAGCTGGGACGATGACATGGAATTCCAGGCGGGCCTGCAGGCAATAATAGGCAGCAACAGCACGCCAGAGCAAACGACCGAGTTGGCGTTACGGGCGCGATGTTTCTACTATGCAAGGTGTGTACAGTTTGATCTGGCACAATAGAACAACATCCTGGAAGCCAGCTGATCAAGAACGTACCAGAAAATACAACAAGAACATCGACTTCGACGCCTATAAAGCCTACCGCAACGCCCGCAACCGGCCGCCCCCCACACCGCCCAGCTCAACCAACGTGCTCGCATCCTCCGTCATAGACCAAGAGCTACATTCAACTCGTAGTGAGCACACAGACGCCAAGTCCACGAAAAACACAACAGCAAATAATACTGCACCCGCTCCAACTACCGAACCCAGCGGCATTCTGCCCTCATCCATCAATGCAAACGAACCGCCTGCGCCGTACCCCACCAGCTTTGCGCACATTGTAGATTTGATTACAAGCGGGAAGCCAGTTCCGGGTATCAAGGAAATCCCGCCTACTGTACTGGAAGGACAAGGAACGCAGGCGACCAAGCCAAAACGGAAGAAGCCGTGGGAGAAGGACGAGGTTGATGTCGAAGGTGCCAAGGAGACGAGCAGTGCATGAGCGATCACAACGACGTGTTTGGGTGCATAAGAAAAGCATAGCGATGGAGTTGTAGAATAAAACATGCTGCATTCGATTGAAGAAAGCGCATAGTTGGTGTTGGCAAGACATGTTACCCAAGCATCATATCCACTACAAGCAATCTGGAATAGCATATAGAAGTGAAATGGAAACGACGTTTACGAATATGAAACTACCACTACAACCACCTACATCACTAAGCTAAACTCAACAAGCCAACGCACATCAAGCAATAGAAGAAAATGTTGATTTTACGAGCAATGATAACGTGCCAAACGCAGCGGATATATAAGAACATGTAAAGAGACCAGCCCATTTACATGCGCAATCCGAAAACCAAGAAAACCAACAAGAACAAATAAAAATAGACAACAACAACAACTGGGGTATATAACAAATCCCAACCCACGTAGTCCACACACACATACATACACACACGTACAAGCTCATCAAAAACCTCCCCATATACGCCGAGATACCCGCGATCCAAGTGCAAAATCCAACAAGAAACGGATGTTTCCATATATACCCCATGCATCCATCCATGCATCCCATCCATGCCGCAATTTATATACTGCACCGTCTCTCCCCTGGTTCCGTGGTCTTGCTTCCGCCTTGTCGCACACTCGGCGTCGTGGGAAAATGGCGAGAGAGAGAGACTTTGATAAGGAGAGCAGGAATAAAGAAAAACTGCAAAAAAAAGAGACGAAGACGAAGAAGACGAAGACGATGGTGATGATGATGATGAACGTCTAAAGCACAGTCTCCAAAATCCTCTCTTTGAGCATCTTGACTTCATCCTGCGTTTCCCAGAGCTTCTGCTGCGCATCCAGAAACTTGTTTTTCCACGCACCAGGCGCTGCTTCGGTGTTGTCAAATTGTGACAAGTCTCTCGGGGCATTGTCGCCGTCGGCACTGGATTTGGATGAATTGTTAATGTCAAGACCTTTTGCTATCCATTCTCCCGTTAGGCCACCAAAGGAAACAGCGAAAAAGACGTCGAATGTTTCTTTGATGTTTGCGCTACTTCGAGACAGGGAATCTGATTCGTCTTGGTTATTGTTGTTAGTGTTGTTATTGTTGGTGGTAGTGTCGTCGTCGTCATCGTCAATGGGCGACTCGTAGCCGTCGCCGCCCACGCGGAAGCGTATGCATTCAACGCGTCGGACGCCTCCTGTGGGCCCGCCAGTACCCACGCCAACAGTGCCGGCGAGACCGAGACAACTGCTGATGGCGATGCTGAGCGCGTAGTCGTTCATCACTTTGGCTGGCGATGTTGTGCCAGGTGTGGGCTTGGCATAGAGGGGCTGCAGGATGGCGGAAGCGAGTGTCTTGGCTTCGTTGCCTCGCAGGCGCTTCCGTCGACCAGTCAAGGGGGCGCGTATTAGTTCGGCAGCTAGCGCGCGGTTCAGCGTCTCTAACGGGACTGCTGACGGGAGTTGGGATGATGTTGAAAGCTCTGGTTCTGTCTGTGAGCGTGTTGGTGGCGGCGGTCGCGGTTGCGCGGGCGTCTCGGACGGCGTGAGAGCCCCGTGATACGTCTGATGTGTTGGACGGTGTTGTTTATCGTACATGTTTTGTTGCTCGTATGCATTCGCAGACGAGACTTGCGCAGAGGCAGCGCTTACAGGAGACGGCCCTAGTCCAGTGCTGGGGGAATCATTCTCCAATCCGTTGACGAGTACAGTAGGCGTGGTCATCCGTACTACAGGATTGCCGACATTGGGTGGAACCTGAAGACTCAGTCGCTGCTTCTGTGGCGCACTTCCCACGGGTGGTCCATCAATCTTGGATGGAGCAACGGCAGACGCTGGTGTAGGCGGGAAACGAACAGAGTTCTCTGGGGCCGGAGGGTCTGAGTGCGCTCGCTCGACAATGGGCGTCAGATTGCTTGGGTTCCGGTCAATTGGCGGTCCTTCTTTAGTCTTGGGGTTCGCTGGAAATGTCACAAATGGCCCATCTTTGATTGAGCGATTACTGGGAGGCCGGCCGCGCAGCTTGCCCGTGGAGGAGCCGGTGTTGGATGACCATGCCGACGATACAGCAGGACCGTGACGCCGACGAGAGCGCGACCTTGTACTTGAGGGAGTGACTGCAGATTGGGGTTCGTCAAAAAACGGATAAGCAGACTGCGGGGTCACAGCAGAAAGCGGATGAGGTGTGTGAGGCGTATCTTGCGCATTTACACGCCACCGTGTATGATGTCCTGCCATTGGGGAATATGTATACGGAGTAAGCCCACTCTGCCCTAGACGACTGGGAGCCGAGGCCGCAGTGTTGGCAGAGGACGGAGTGACGGTTGAGACTGCAGTCCATGGATCTTGTGGCGTCAGGAAGCCTCCGTGTATGTTATTTGGGTGAGCGCTCGTCGGATATGCTGACTGCGGCTGCAATACATTGCCAAATGCCACAGAGGTATCAAGCTGAGGCCGTTTGCGAGCTGGTGTGCCCTCGTCAAAGTCGATATCATCCTCTCCATCTTCGGCTTTCCGGCGTCCACGCTTGGGCTTGAACTTTGGATCTAACGCCCTGATGGCCAAGTCTTCCTCTAGCGGCACGCCGTCACGCCCTTCGCTTGGGAAGGGATTGTGCGGTGGTGGTATCTGCAGGAAGTAGGGGTGTTGCTTGCCGAGCAGATATTCAAAAAATGCATCAATGTGCATAGCGCGCATCCATCGCTGTTTATGATTAGCACACGACTTTCTAATTGCGGCAAGATTAAAAAAAAGCGATGCAAACAAAGATAATCAATCAGCACAAGCAGTGCACGGCCACCTCGGCTGACTGACAGGCGTGAGATGCTGGACAAGAGCGGCCGCAGCATGTTGTAGCACGTTGCACCCCAAGTCAGCTCACATACTGTGAGTGGCTCGGTTCGCGCACTGTGCCAGGCACCAGCTGGATGGTTCCGATGGCAAAGGGATGTTGGAGGCTTGTGCAGACTGCGCCGCAAGCCAGACGACGTGTGTATACACATGATGGACTGCAACTTTGTGGACGCAAAAGAAACGTGTGAAGGGGTCGTGTAAGAAAGAAATGGAATTGGCTGACAGAAGAAGCATGCCGTCCGTACCTTTAACCTAACAGAGTACTGCTGCACTTTTTGCGTGCTCTGTCCCTCGTCTGTGTTGGGGGGCTTTACGCCCAGATCCAGCGCCAGCTGTGTCCATGTCTTTATTTCTTTTGCGTCAAACTTGCGGATCAGCTCAAAGAGGGCCCATGTGCTGAATGCGTTGCCGTCGCTCTTGGGGGGTGTCCTGAACAGCTTGACCAGCTCGCTCGTGTCGGTGGTGGTGGGGAAGTTTGGGTTGCAGTAGAGGATGAAGGCGGCGTAGGCATTGTCAATCGAGTCGTCCGAGACGTCGCGCGGGGGAGGGTCGCGGTCGGCGGGCTCGAAGTTGGCTGTTGGCTGGCGCGGCTGGCTGGTGGGCGAGATGGCGGAGAAGCGCGGCGAGGCATTCGCAGAGGCGGGGGGAGTCTGCGAGTTGCGCATGTCGCCATAGAAGCCGTGGGGAAGATGACTGGCATTGTCGGGCTGAAGTAGATGGCCTGACTGTGCCTGGTGGGGGACGGCCGACATGGGCGTGTGCACATTGCGGCTGGCACCTGTGCTCTGGTCCAGTCCCGGGTCAATCGCTGGCACGCCTCCTCCAGCGCTGGTGCTCGCGCTGCCGCCGCCGTTGGAGGGATGGCGGAAGGGCGAGTAGGCGGGGCCGCTGCCGGGCGCCGGGTGCTCGTAGTGGGCGTGGGCGTGGCTGTGGCCGTGGGCGTGGGCGTGAGCGTGGGCGTGGGCGTTTGCTGTCAGGAGAGAGTGCTCCGTCGGTCCCTCGTCGCCAAAGTCGACCTGCATGGTTCTCCGCGACAAGACGCTCTCAGCTGCTTTCTCGGCCGATCAGCGTGCCATGAGGGCGCAATGATGAATCGCGGGCGCGCTAATGCCAATAAAAGGCCATGGATATAGGCCGTGGGAAGGGCGTGCGCGACAGGCCGTTGGTCCACAGGCCCCGAGTTGCTTCTTTGCGGGCTGCCCGACGCGACGGGCAAGAAGAAGGCGACGGCGAAAGAGACGGCGAAAGAGACGGCGAAAGAGACGGCGAAAGAGGCGACGGAGACGAGCGAGGCCCACGGCGCAGCGGCGGCTGTCGCAAACGAGCCTGCAAGCCCAGCGCGAAGAGGTCCAACGATAGGATGCGAGGCGCCCAGGCCGGCGTCGCTGGTCGATTGCTGCGACGGTGCTTTGCCCGCACCTGCGCCTTTTCTTCTTCGTCTTGGTCTTTTCCTGTGTCGAGCGCGGGCGACGATTAAGCTTCGGCGATTACGTCGATGCGCGCTATCGAGTCGCGTCGGGGAGGAGGGTCCAGTGGGTGAGAAGATAATTTGCGGTCCTTCAGGTGTCTTGGGGCGGGTCGGGCCTGCTGCTTCGGGGACATTTTGTTGACTTAAGGCAGCTGCGCCCGCCGCCCGCCCCCCGGCCGAGTCGCTTCTATTTTTGGCGCCTCCGAACGCACCACTGCTCCTCTCCCACCACCACCACTCATGCCCCCCATGCTGCTGCACAATTGGCGCACAGGGGGTAAAGTTTCTTTCCGCGGCTCTAGTTAGACTACGCGCTTCTTTTAGTAGGGCGCTAGTATAAGTTAAGAAATAGCGTACTACATAGTGTAATATATAAAAAACCTTATTGATACTAAGAAATACTTTTAGTATAACGTATTCCACCACCGAGAGTGCCACCCCACCGAGTGTGCCACTTTTTCTTGGCATCGCGAACATCACATATGAAAACTTGAATTACTCTACACTAGCTATAGATGCTTCGTACGACTCACTTGCATCTAACATAGAATCTTCTTCTACATCTTTTTGGCACGTACGGGCGTTATGGCCCACTCTCCCACAGATTCCACAGTGCCGTTGACCTGGCTGGGCCTTTTCTTGACTACCCCCACCACGCGCTTTCTTTGATATTATACGACTAGTAGAAGCACTTTCAGCTGCCTGCGATGCTCCTGCACCAAATTCTAGTGTCCCGCCTGTCTGAATCCGCTTTCTTTTACGCCCTCGGCGCTTTGTTACCTCTGCTAGTTGCTCTTCAAGCTCTCGTACGCGGGCCTTCATAAGCACATTCTCATGTAGCATCTCCTC